CGATGTCTCCCTTCAGCCACTTTTCTGTAGTCCATCCCCCAGGGAAGGGGTTATATGTAGGTTATTGTGATCATTTCCCCCCATTCTCTCCCCACCTTTCCCTTACCCTCCTGGTATGGCTACTCTCATTATTGATCCTTAGGGGTTTATCTGTCCTGGATTTTCTGTGTTTCCAGCTCTTCTTCGTGCCAGTATAGTCTAGCCAGATTTGTAAGGTAGAATTAGGGTCATGATCGTTGGGGGGAGGAAGCATTAAAGAACTAGAGGCAAGTTGTATGTTTCATTGGTGCTATACTGCACCCTGACTGGCTTGTGTCCTCCCCATGACCCTTCTCTAAGGGGATGTCCAGTTGCCTACAGATGGGCTTTGGCTCTCCACTCCACATTCCCCCTCATTCACAATGATACAATTTTTTGTTCTTTCATGCCTGATACCTTATCCCATCAACACCTTGTGATCACACAGGCTGGTGTGCTTCTTCCATGTGGGTTTTGTTGTGTCTCAGCTAGATGGCCACTTGTTTATCTTCAAGCCTAAGACCCCAGATACTATATCTTTTGATAGCCGGGCACCATTACCTTTCTTCACCAGATTTGCTTATGCACCCACTTTGTCTTCAGCGATTATGTTGGAAAGGTGAGCATCATGGAATGCCAGGTTAATAGAACAAAGTTCTTGCATTGAGGGAGTACTTGAGTAGAGGCCCAATGTCCATCTACCTTATACTAAAGCTATAAATATATGTTCATAGATCTATTCACCCATCATATATAACTATATTTACCTATGTACATGCTTTTATTTAGACATCTATAAATGCCCTTTGCCTCCTAGTTCTTTCCTTTATTTCCTTTTGTCCCACTATCATGTTCAGCCTTCATTTGGCCATACTAGGCCTTCTACACCCTCCTCGCTATCAATTTTAGATCACTTGTTGTTCCCTTGTCCCTGGGGTTGTTAACACCCACTTCCTTTCTCCCGCCTCCCTCTCTCCCATGTCCCCCCAAACGTTGGTCCTGTTGTTTTCTCCTCCAGATTGTTTATCCCACTTATTTTATGTAGACAGAACTTCAGAGATAATAATATGCACAAAAAACAAGACTGAGCAAAACTAAGCAACAAAAGAAAACAAAACAACAACCAAATAAACCAATGACCAAAAAAAAAGAAAAGCCTGTAAATAGTTCAAGGTCTGTTTGTTTTCCAGTTGAGTCTGATGGGGTGCCATGCCCTGGCCCCAAAGTCTATTTTTGGTACTCCCTGGGACTTCATTGATCTGCTCCCCTTGCTGTTCTGTTGCAAGCCCTTAGTGTTTTTTCTCGGTGTGGTGGGGTTAGATCGGGTGCAATTCCCACACTGTGTCTCCAGTGTTGTCCCCCATAGCACTATGGGTCAGTGAAGGACGTGTCTCACAGTGGGGCCAACCCTATGGTCCTCTCTGCATTGGCTGTTCTGAGCAGGAAGATTGTCCTCAGGGCTTGGTGGGCCAGGATGTGATGCACTCTCTCTTCCTTCCCCTTCATTTGCTCCTCTGTGCTCTGATCAGATATGTCCCTCTCCCCAAGCTTTGGGTGGGGAGGGGGGGTGTCTGCATAGTTGGGATTGGGGCCAGTCCTTCAGATCTTTCTATTGGTTCCCTGCTTCATGCAGGTATGTTGCATTCACCTCTTGGAGAACCGGGTTGAAGTCTGGTCCCTCTTTCCCTGTGGAGATATAAACAATACCCTCCCCTTGGGTGGATTAGTGCCTGCACAGGGTAGGTACATTTTTGCATACTTTACAACCCCATGCAAGCTTTCTTCATAAGCATGCTATCTCTTTTTTTTTTCCACATTGATGATTTCCAATTTCACTTCTTCCATTGAGAATTTAATATAAAAAAAATGTTCATCTTGGTGCCTGTAGATGTGGAGATTTGCATCCTGGTGCAGGCTGCTTCCAGGATGGCCAGCCCCACTCAGGTGAGTGAGGCCAGCACATTGCAGCCATGTGGTTTGGGCTATTTCACTCTCTTACCCATGTGGACAAAGCAGGATAGATGCTCCAGGATGGACTAGAGAGCCACGGGTACAAAGAGGTCTTGGTTCCTTTGTTCAAATGAGATGTAACCCCCTGCTGTCCTGGGGTCCCAAAGTGCTGGGATACTGCATGCCTACACCCACACCACGCTGCTGCCCAGCTTCTCATTGAGCCAGCACCTCCAGACCCAGGTGTACGTGGACAACAGCCACTACCTACCACTGGAATCCATTTGTGCTGGATTGTGGCAGCCCTGGACACAACCTTGCACCCACCCCATGCCCGGCTGCACAACAGTGTACCTGGACACAGATTGGCAGCCAGAGACTCCATCACTCATAGACCTGGCTGCAAAGGCAGTTTCTGTTGCACCTTCTGTTACTACTGTATGCTACCAAACTCAATTCATGCCTTCTGGACCTTCTACCAGAGATTCCCAAACTTACTTGACCTAGCTCCTTTTCAGAAAGAAACAAAAATTGTGGGGGGAGGTTAGACCCTTGCAGACATCTTCCTTGAGGGTGAGCAGTTGCCAGACTGTAGTGTCGCCGCCCCCCCCCCCAACCTGGGGACAATGGATTACTTCTCCCTAAGGCTTGCAGCCATTAGTTTGGTTCCTGTAGATGGGATTTACACCCTACTTCTAATGGTTTTTATGGAGATCCAGAGAACCCATCAAACCCGCTTGCTTCGGGACATCCCAAGTTAAGCTGCCATCCTGAATCTAGGATCTGCCCATCTTGCCACACGTATACCCCCAATCCCTCCTCTTCCTATTGCGTGGATGCCCCTAGATCACCCCCTCCCACTACTGTATATTACCTATAGCACAACCCTTTCCTGTGACATATGTCTTCACCTGTAATTAGGGGGCTTGCATGTCCTCAGAGACTATAAAAGCCTTGGTCAGCAGCATTAAAGATCGGCTCTCTCCACGTGGACCACCAAGGTACCATGAAATGTGTCTGACTCCATTATTTTAATATCTCTTATCTCTCTTGCTTTCTATGACTTTACTATTATCTTTACTTATTATCGCTGTACAATTGCGCCTACCAGACCACAATGATGTGCTCGGGGCTGGCTTCCCCTTGCAAAAAATGTTTAATGCCTCCTTCAACAATTAAAAGCTTTTACACTATAGCCCCTAGTCCAGGATAAGATATCTGCTTTTGCTGCCCCCTGCGTTCTTTCAGCGCCCACCAGGGGGTTATATCACTCACTTTGGGAAACATTAGCTTAACTTTTATTATACGAATATGATCAAAATGTGCATTTTCAGACCTGGAGCAGTGTGACTAAGAGTAAATTCACCTGAGAAATGCCACTAGAGAAGCACACGTAGGCATGCTGTGCCAGAATATTTTGGACATAATCGCGTCATTTCCACCAGTTACGGGTGTGTGAGCATTACTTACATGGGTGCACTATTTTCTGAAAAGTATAGCATGTGATTTTTTTTCTATAATACAATTTTGGCAGGGCCTTATAATCTAGTTATCTGCTGATTGAGGTAACTTAGTTTCTGTGTCTCAGGGATTAGGGAAGTACTTTGAATGCTGTGTTTGTCACAGGGAAAATGAGTTTTAATTCATATTGACCTTTCTTTCCTTTGAGCATTTAGTCTGAATTTGGTAAAATGTTGATGACTGCTCTTTAGGAAACAGCTGTACGAAATAAAGTATTATAAATATTCCGCTTTCCTTTCTAAGCATTGTCACCAACAGCTGGCCCTCCAGCTTAGCAGAACAGATTTTGCACACAGAGAGGCTGGCATGTTTCTGAAGCAGTTTAGTGAGGGTGACAAAAAATAGTTTCTTATGGGTTGGGGACTGATAAAGTCATGGAGCATCTGTTCCTCGGTGAAGTCTTAGTCTGGTAGTACTGAATCATGTTTAAAGCTAGAATAATGTGCAAAACTTGTTCTCACCTTGCTCATACCCTACCTTTATTTCAACACTCACTGCAATATTTTTGCAAATAATAATGCACTTTCAACATCTCCACTGAAGGTATGTGAATTGTGCTGTTATGTATAATTTTTATTAATGGCATTTAAAACAATAAACATATTAATTATTGCTATGATGTTTTAATGCAGTAACTTCCATCTGAATTGTATGATAATCCATATAAATGAAACCACATCTACAGACAGGGTATGTGCCACTTAACATTGATAGCATTTGCTATGAAGTGTGATTTGGACACTGTATGACTGTCACATTAAAGCGTAATGAGAGCCTGCCTCTGGTTTTTCTCATCACTGTTGCTGCTCCTGGAGCTGTTGGCGGAAGCTGGGAGTAGGGCAGCGGCAGGTAGGGCAGAGCGAGATGAGTGAGGAGGGAGTTGGCATTGCCCAGCCTGGTCCGCTATTCCAACTGGCCACACATGCCCAGAGATAGGTCCTCCGCCTCATTTGCCTATATCTCACCCATGCTGCAAAAGTCGAGTTTGGCAACTTTAAAACTACTCACTCACTGCCATCAAGCCATTGCCGACTCATAGCGACCCTCCAGGAGAGGGTAGAACTGCCCCTGTGAGTTTCCGAGACTAACTATGGGAACAGAAAGCCTGAGCGGCTGGTGATTTTGACCTGACATCACATTGGGCTGTGTTGCGAAAGGTTAAAGCCACTAGGGGAAATAATAAACAAAAGGAGAACAGCTGTCCCTTAAAAAAAAACCAAAAACCTTCTGGGACCACTGACTCGTATGTAACTGGATTTTGACTGATGGGCATTAAGGGATGTGTACCTGTGTAGAAAAGTGACCCATTTAAATAATGATTCCATTGTGAAATATGTTATTATAAGTAAACGTTCTTTGTCATGAATAATTGCTTTCTTCTTAGGGTATTCTATTTTAATAAATGATGTAAAATTTAGTTGGTAATAGAAATTTTGTTTGTAGGTCTTATTCTTAAACATTTGGTTACTTTAGCATGTCAAACCTAAGATTTCTTTCAACGTGTTTTGCAGTGTTAAAAGATCACTGAAATTAGAAGATCTGATAGAAAATGTAAGTACTTAAGAATTTGGGATTGCATGATAAGATTATGTTTTTAATTTTAAACTACTGATTTACCTGACTTAACAAAAAATGAATGTGGTACAGTTGTGATTGAGACATTAATTTTTCGAATGGCAGGGTGGGGGTGGAGGTTATGTATATGTGTATGAATCAAGTGAATCGATTGCATGAAAGTTTTTGTCCAGCTTTAGGTGTTTATAAGAAGAAAGTTATTTAGAAACTTCAATGAAATAATTCAGAAATTAATTCACTCTTGGTAGAAAGAGTCTGCCACTAAAATGTCTGAGAAACCATATAGAATAATGATAATGTTTTCATCTGCATACTGTAATCTACTAAATTGAAATAAAACACTAATTGTTTTTATATAAAAATGCAATTCTATTTCTCAGCTATGCTGGCATGATTAAGCAATAATATACTAACACTAAAATTTTCATCTTGGTTATCACAATAGAAATAAAACTGTACTGTTCTAATTATTTTTGTTATAAATTTAGTCAAACCACAAACACAATGCCAGCTATCATGACATATGCTAATCTGTTTTCTTTTCATTTGAACTGTGGGTCTGAGTGCAAACTCCAATTATGTCCCAGTAACCTTGAACGGATATAAATTGGTAAGAAAGCAGATTAAAACAAATAGCCAGTCCATGAATGAGCTCCTATGCTATCCCCTATGATAATGGCAGTTTAAGAAATGAGTTTTAGTTGGAATTTGTTTTTGGAAGACACAGTGGTATTTAACAACGTGGAAATTTACCATTTAAAACATTTCCTTGATGCTTTTAAAGAAAGTTTAAACAAAGGTGGCAAAATACTGCAATGACACTAAAAAAATAATTAGCAGTGTAATTAGCAATTTAGAGTTCCATTATCCAACTGTACAGAATGCAGCTGTGACTGTAATTCTGCATCTGTTTCTTTGGTCAGAATGGTATTTTGGTAGGTGAGTAGTCCAGCTGAAATGAAATACTGTTCTTCCCTGCCCCAAAGCTGTTCTTTGGGAGCTGGTAACATTGTTTGAATGAAAAGAATGGCTATCAGAATTTATCCTCTTCAAGGAGTACAATTGTCATCATGGCAACCTTTCTATTTTTCTTCAGATGAGGATGTGTCTGGGTGCTAATGCCACAGCTAAGATCCTGTATTAGAACAATATATTGTTATTTTTGGCCCAGTTCTGTGTCTTTAAACCAGTTGACTTCACACCACATGGCTAAAAGCAAGTTTGTAGCATCCTAGCATGGACTTTGCTTGACTGTTTCTATTTCCTGACCTGTTCCACATACTCTCAGCTTGTGTACTCTTGCCTCCCATTTGCATACAGCTCTTTATTAAGACAGCTTTTCTTCTATTCTGGTGCTATATCTCCATGTCTCTTCTTGACCTCATTTATACTTTCACTCATTCCGGTAGCAACTTTGCTCAGAGGTTCCTTCAAAATGTCATAATGGGCTTAATTAAAATCAGTATCCAAACAAGATTTTTGTCATGTATTGATTTTTTGTCTCTTTGGTCTTTTGTGCATCCAGAGGTACCTTCTGCCTCCTTGTCTCAATCTTTTACTTACATTTCATTTGTTTAAGAAAAAACAAAATTGGGCCCATTTGTTTTATAAGCATATTCCACATTCTGCATATTGTTGTTTTAAAATCACTCCACTATTTTTAACCCTGGTAGCACTGTCAAGTAAGCAATGTACTGCTAACCTCAAGGTCACTAGTTTAAATTTACCCACCACTATGAGGAAGAAAGATGAGGCTCTCTGCCCCCATAAAGATTTGGAAACCTCACATAAGGTGCCGTGAGTTGCTGTGATAGGGTTTGTGTCAGCCTGGCTGGGCCAGGTGTCTCCATGGTTTGATAGTGAAGACCTAGAAATTCCCCCATGATGTGACCCGACACAATGTAATCACCTCCATTATGGATTCTGTTGCTGGTGCTGCTGTTAGGAGCCGTTGAGTCACAGAGACTTTTGTGTACAACAGAATGAAGCACCGCAAGTCCTGCACCATCTGCACAATTGTTCTCCGTGTGTTTAAGCCCTTGTTGCAGACACTGTGTTTGACTGCGGACTTCCTCTTTCTCTGTTCCTCCACTTTACCGAGCATGATGCCCTCTCCAGGGGCAGGGCTCACCTGGTAACATAACCAAACCACATGAGATGAAGTCTTGCCATCCTTGCCTGAAGGAGGATTCTGGTTATACTTCTTCCAAAACAATTTTTTTTGGTTCTTTTGGCAGTTCACCGTATCCTTTTCCAGCACACAATTCAAATGCATGGGTTTTTCTTCAGTCTTATCTATTCCGTCTCCAATTTTCATATGCATCTGAGGTGATTGAAAATACAGTGGCTTAAGTCAGGTATACCTCACTCAGTGCTCAAAGTAACATCATTGCTTTTCAACATTTTAAAGTGGTCTTGTACAGTAGATTTACCCATTGCAATGTGCAGTTTGATCTCTTGAACTTACCTACGAGCAATTGAAGGCCTGTTTCACAGTTGACCCCTAGCCTCATTTTAGCTGTTGATACTTAGCTTCTCTGACAGCCCTTCCTGTAGATACAGCCAATTTGATTACTGTGCAATCTATCTGGAGACATCCACAAGTATAATTACCTTTTGAAAGGTATTAGCAATGAAGATGTCATTATTCTTACAAAATCCTCTCATGCAATATTCAGCTTCATTTCTATATTTTCCAACTATCCATCCTTCCTCTTTTTTCCAACTTTTGCATTCTAGTTGCCAATAGGTATCCTTGCATGTTTGATTAATTTCATGCTGAAGACGTTGGGGAAAGTCTTCAATTTCTTCATCACTAGCTTTAGTAGTTGGTGTATAAATTTGAATAATAATTCTATTGACTGAATTTCCTTGCATGCAGATAGATATTATCCTATCCCAGGCAGTACTGTACTTCAAGATAGATCTTGAATGTCCTTTTTGAAGATAAATGCAATGCCATGCCTCTTGAGTCTGTTATTCCCAGCATAATAAACCATGTGATTTTCTGAATCAAAAATGGCCAATACCAGTCCATTTTAGCTCACTGGCACTAAAGGTATCGATCGTTATGTGTTCTCTTTCATTTTTGAAACTTCCAATTTTCCTAGATTCATACTTTGTACATTCTACGTTCCATTTATTAATTGATGTTGGTAGCTGTTTCTTCCCATTCTGAGTTTGGCCCCAGCGGCAAAGAAAGCAGCTCTTCCTGAGTCATATTTTGAGTGCTTCAGACCTGCAGAGCTCATCTTCTAGCACAATCGCTGATCGTGTTCTACTGCTATTTGGGATACTTCCATACTTGACAGTGTGCTGCTGTTCGTGAGGTTTTCAGTGGCTAATTTCTCTGTTGTGGAGAGCCTATTCATTCTTTGTTCTTTGAAATCTGTTCACTTTGGGATTCCCTGCTGGTATATGAAATACCAGTGATAAAGCTCCTAGCATCACAGCAATAGTACAAGCCACGACAGTGTGGCACACTGACAGACGTGTAGTGGATGGGATCTGCTATGAGCAGTCAATCGCTTGTAAGAAGATTAAGGTGGGATGCAATACCCTTACTCAAATCACACTCCCGATCCAATCAATTGAAATGATGTTTCCTTGGGAATGTGGCCTGCTTCCAATATAAGTGGGTACTGTGGAAAAGCTTACTTTGCTTTTTGCTGAATTAGGATTCTACATCTGTGTTGTCCTCCCACTACCGTCTGCCTGTCCTGGGAACTATTGGCACTTTGGATTCATTTGCCCCTGCAACCCCTGCTGTAATTTTCCTGCCTATCTTGGATTACTCCTTGCAGCTTCTTGAGTCAGGAAAGGCACCCAACCTACTAATCCATCTTATCTACTTGGAAGTTGCCTGGATTTGGACCTTGCCAGCTTTTACAAATTTTGAGCCATTTGCTTGACATAAATTTCATACGTATATACATACATACATTTCCATGGTTTTGCTTTATTAGAGAACCCAATCTAAGACATTTGGAAACAACTTGATAGCTATGGGTGGGTAGTTAGAGATACAGCTGTACTGCATTTTATTTTAAATTTGGGAAAGAATGCTTCAAGTGTGGACTTGCTGTTGTGCCACTTCAAAGCAGCACCAAATGGTATATGTACTGATCATTTGGTTCAACTGCTAACAACCCGATCCATCCATTTTGAAATTCCTCATCAGGTTAGCTTTCAGTAACCATTAGTGATCATTTCTTCAATCTGGTCTTTCCCTACAGATTCCTACAGTTGTAACACTTGTCTGTTTTTAATCTGCACTTTGGCATAGTCTTCCCCTTTGACCACCTCTCCTTGCCAACCCAGAGCAGTTCACCAGGTCTGTGATCACAGATCTCCAGCCCTTGATGAGCTTCTTAAAGGTGAACTCCACTGTCTCACCCTCTTTCAGGCTCTGGAAGCTCTGACTATGCAGTTTATTTTAGTATGCCAAGGGACTGCTTGTAGGCAATTAAGAATAGGAAGCTGAACTCCTTTCACACATTGAACCACTGAACAGATGCCAGCATCCTGGAGCCGCTGCTGCTCCTCGGCTGCCCACACCGTATCCTCCAGCACCTTTTGTCGCCTTAGCAGTCACTGACTTGCTACTAAGTCAATTCCAGCTCATAACAACTCTATAGGACTGAGTAGAACTGTTAGGTTGGATTTCTAAGGTTGTAAATCTTTATTGGAGCAGACAGCCTCAGCTTCCATGGAGCCACTGAGGGGTTCATACCATCAACTTTGCAGTTAGCAGCCCAATGCTTATCCCACTGGTTACTCGCCGTGGCATAGTGACTTACAGATGACCTACCTGTTGGGTGTGAAGCTTATGGTTTATCAGCTGAACCCTTGCAATATATATACTCAGGTGACTGTGGGATCCAGCCCATGATCGAACCGGCCCAGGGACCGATGTGTAATTAAAGAAAAGAAGACAGAAATGGGTGCTGGGGACTCAACTCCCAGCTTGGGAGAAG